ACCGGTCGTTATCTTATCTGATAGGGAAAAAATGGTGAGAGTTTGGAGGGAATCGGCCAACCTCGATCCGTGGACCCTGCCTGGTCCCTAGTGACAATGACACTTAAATGATGTGCATATGCTCAGTGTTCTTATAGTTCAGGTAATGCCAGTTATGTAATACCAGTTCCCATGGGGAACAAGGTGAGGTCCAGTGATTGCACTTGTTTGTTTAGTTCTGGACAGAAGCGTTCTACTTTTTAACCATGAATGGGCAGTGGTTAAAACTTCCCATGAGAACTTGTGGTTAGGGTGTTTTCTGATGTGCTTGGCTGGCTCTGACTGCTTATTAACATCTGAATGTTCATTGACACAAACCTCGAGGTTGTGTGCTGTTTCGCCAATGTATGTTTGTTCACAAGTACACTTGCCTTTGTAGATGACATGTGACGGGTGTGTGTTTTTGTCTTTTAACTTGAAGATTGATTCCATCTTGCGTGTTTGCCACATGATAAAGAAGTTGAACCTCCGTTTGGTATATGTGTTAAGTTTCTCTAAGAATTTTTCTGGCATTACCTGATCTATAAGAACACTGCACGTAAGCATATTATTTCACTCTGATGATGATCAAACAGATCGAAAATGTTAAGACTCAATTTTAACAGCTTTTTACCTTAAAGTTTTATATTTTAATTTTATCAGCGAAATGTATAGATTTGAATATAGTAATGAAACAATTGAAAATTAATGCTTCCTGATCCCCCAGGAATCAAAAAATGGCTCTCAATTTGAAAATGATAAAAATATGAAAAAAATTTAAGGACAAAATTATATAATCTATTATTATCATATAATGAATATGAATGAATCAGAATTGAATAAATTATCAAAAAACAATTAATTGATCTATTATTAAAAGATCAACAAAAACCAATTCCAAAACCTCGTATTGAATCTAAAAAATCAGTTCCAGTACCTCATAAAAATGTTAAACAAATGATACAAGAGCATGAGCAAAACATAATTGAATCACCTGTTGAATTTAGAGATAATTACAAACCAGTTCCAAAACCTAGAACTATTAAATGCAAACCAATACCAGCTCCAAGAAAAAAACTTACACCTATTAAACAAGCTCTAAAAGACTCAGTTAAAACTTATGAAATTGATTTAAAAAATAAAAATGATCCATTAAGTCAATTACAAACTGCTAGACAGACAATTGAACGCTATTTCAATGAATCTTACTTGAAAATAATAAAAATTTTAAATTTTATGAATCTTTGAGATTGACTTTTATGAAACAAGTTCCTGATAATGAAAAAAATGATAAAGATGTTGAAATTGAACTTGATATTACTGGTGGGAAGCATTATGTAAACGTAAAACAGCTTATTTGAACAGTAAAGTTCAGACTGTTATAAATATCATTGATTTGAATAAACAATTGAAAATAAGTCAAGAAGAGATTCTTAAAAAAATTGGACAGTGGTTAAGTGAAGGATCAAGATGGATGGTTGATAAAATTAATAATCATTATTTGAATGTTGTTAAATATAAGCCAAAAAGGGTAAATCATATATTCAACTTCCAAGGAATTAAGACATCATATGGAAGGCCTTATCAATATGCAAAATGAAGATAATGAATGTTTTAGATGGTGTCATATCAGGCATATTAACCCTTAAGAAGTTCATTGAGAAAGAATAAAGAAATTTTGCAGAGAATATGTTAAACATTTGGATTATTCTGGTAATGAATTTCCTGTTAAAATGAATGATTATAATAAAATTGAAGAACAAAATAATATCAACATTAATGTATTTGGATATGAAGATAAACAAAAATTTCCAATTTATATATCAAAAGAAAGGTTTAATGATAATTTAAATCTACTGTTAATAACTGAAAATGAAAATAAACATTATGTGTTGATTAAAGACTGATAGATTTATGTAATAGATTTATGTTCAATCATACCAAACACCAACATAAACAACAGTTTTGTATGCATTGTCTTCGACATTTTTCATCAGAAGATATTCTTAATAAACACAAAGAAAATTGTATAATTGTAAATGGTTACCAAGCAATAAAAATGCCATCTAAAAGTGAAAAAATTGTTTCAAAATCACAACTGGCAGTTACAAGTACCATTTGTTATATATGCAGATTTCAAAGCTATCAGAGCAAAAGTAGATTCATGTGAACCAAGTAATAATGATTCATATACTGAAGCATATCAAAATCACACAGATTGTAATTATGGCTATAAAGTAGTTTGTGCATGTGATGATAGATCTACAAAACCTGTTCAATATTATAGAGGTGAAAATTCAGTTTATAAATTTATGGAGAAAATGTTAGATGAAGTTAAATATTGCAGAAACATAATAAAATACAAGTTCAATAAACCTATTAGGATGACTGATGATGATGAAAAAAATTGTAAACAAGCAAAAGAATGTCATATTTATGGTAAAAAAAAATATGATAAAACTGATACAAGAGTAAGAGATCATTCTCATGTAACAGGTAAATACAGAGGCTCTACTCACGAAGCTTGTAATCTTAATTTTCAATTTACCGATAAAATACCAGTTATATTCCATAATCTTAGAGGTTATGATAGTCATTTCATAATGCAATAAATAGGTGAAATAGCTAAAAATCATAAACACTCTAATAAGAAAGGTGAAGAGAAAGAAATGAATGTTAATGTTATTCTAAATAATATGGAAAAATATATGGCCTTCGTGTTAGGTTACAATCTGGTATTCATTGATAGTTTTCAGTTTATGAGTTCTAGTCTTGATAAACTAGTGGGTAATTTACCAAAAAAAACTTAAATATACATCTGAAGTCTTTAAAGTATTTTAATGTACCACCCTTCTATCATGCAATATTAAAGTACTGGCAAGAAAACAAACCCATTATATTAGAAGACAATACACACAAGTAAAACGAAATGATCTGGAACAATAAAAGCATTTTAATAGATAAACAGATGATCTATTTAGAACAATGGCATTAAACTGGAATCATGTACATAAATGACCTGCTTGACGAAAATTTTAACTTCTTATCACATGACAAATTTCAACGAATCTCTCAGCTTCATGTCCTGTTTAAAGCCTACTATGGTTTAATAAGCGCCATTCCACCAAGCTGGAGATGTACAATCAAATGCACAGAAATCGCAATTGAAAATGACAGTGCGTCATAAGGACCTCCTCTGTCTAAGAACGTCACCATCCGTGCTGTCCATGCAGCAATTATAGACCACTACTTCCAACCCCCAACTGCTGAACCAAGATTACTACAATATGGTTTCTCAAAAGAATGCTTAAAGAAAGTTTATAACCTCCCCTTTGTTACCATGCTCGAAACAAATCTTCAAATTTTTCAATATAAAATTATCCACAACATACTTCTCTTGAATTGGGAGTCGCCGGTAGCTATCTTTCAGAATCTTTGCTGAAGTCGGAGACATACTGCAATCACCTTCTTTGCTCAATGCCAGCTGGAGAAATACGTTAGACGTTCTTGCAGAGATGATAGCTTTGGCTCTTGGGTCTGAGTAGCTCTCACAGAAACTTTCTTAACTTCAGGATCTTCAGGAGGGATGGAAGGAACGTCATCAACGGAATTCCAGTCTTCAGAAGTATTCCAGAGAAAATCTGACCCATTCCACCAGAGAGGGTTGTCAAGAAGCTCTTGGGCTCCAGCACCATGGAAGGCTATGTCTGTGGGATTGGATTTCGTTCCAACGTAGTGCCATTGTCCAGGCAATGTCTGCTCTCGTATTTCTTGAACACGATTACCAACAAATACAAGAAATCTTCTGGCGTCATTATTGATGTAGCCCAACACGGTCTTACTGTCAGTCCAGAAGACTTCTATCAGGGTGTACTCTAGCTCCTTCTGCAACATACAGCTGATCTTCGTCGAGACGAGCCCAGCTGTCAGTTCCAGTCTGGGAGTGGTGACTGGATTAAGGAGAGTTACATGTGACTTTGCCATCACCAGGGAACAATGGACGCAGTTCTTGTCATCGACAAGTCGGACATAAGAACACTGACTATAGCCATTCTGACAAGCATCGGAGAAGTAATGCAGTTCGGCTTTCTTGACTTCATCGAGTTCCTGGGTCTTATGACATCTTGCAATTCGGATCCTTTCTAAAATGGGAAGCTCAGCTCGCCACTTCTCCCATTGAGATCTCAAGTTGTCTGGAATTTCATCGTCCCAACCAACACCATCGCGGCACAGTTCTTGTAGAATTCGCTTCCCTACCAAGATGAATGGAGTAACCAGGCCCAGGGGATCAAACACTGAACTAACTGTGGACAGGATTGCTCTTCTTGATAAGGGTTTATCTTGCAAGGTAATTCTTAACTGGAGTGTGTCATACTCAACGCACCAATGAACACCCAGGGCACGTTCTATGGCGGTACCATCACTAATAACGTGGTGGTCTGTCAGGTCTGTTGCTCGATCTTCCTGTGGAACGGAACTCATCATGTCTATGTTGTTCGAAGTAAATTTGTGCAGTCGAAAGCCACCCCTTTGACATAAGGACTTTGTGTTCTTGATCAATTCTTTGGCCTGGTCAACGGATTGTACTGATTTCAGTCCATCCACAAAGACATTTCTTCTCACAAAATCCGCTGCTTTGCTGCCACAGGTTTCTTCATACTGGTCCACAGCAGTTTTAAGGGCAAAGTTCGCACATCCCGGCAATGACGTGGCACCAAATAGATGGACGGTCATACGGAACTCAACAGGATCTCCTTTCAGCTCTGGATTGTCCCACCGCAGGAATCTAAGGAGGTTACGGTGTTCCACGTCTACCTTTACTTGGTGAAACATTGCTTGGATGTCGCACATAAAGGCGATACGTTCCTGTCGAAATATGCACAGAACTCCTGTAAGGTTATTTGTCAGATCTGGTCCCTGGAGAAGCTGTTGGTTCAGGGATTGGCCATCACATACAGCACTACAGTCAAACACGACCCTAATCTTTCCTGGTTTCTTATGATACACTCCGTGATGTGGAATGTACCACACTTGCTTACTCTTCGTGGATAGTTCTTCAACCGGAACTCTTTCTGCGCAACCACTTGATGTGATGTCCTGCATGAAGCTGCTGTAATCCTTTTGAAACTGTTCATCACTAGTCAATCGTCTTCTCAGTTTTAAAAGGCGATTCAGGGCTGGCTCCTTGCTGTTCAGCAACTCCACGTTTTCACTTTTCAGAGGTAATGGCATCTCATAATGGCCATCTTCTAGATGATGAACGCCTTCACGCATTATCTTAGAAATCTTCGGTCTTCGATGGACAGAGGTTTCTCTTCAGCTTGTCGTTCGTTGAAGTCCAGAGCAAACATCCTGGAAACATAGCTTGGGCTGATCATTTCCTTCACTTGTGTCTGGAATGCGAAGTGGCACATCTTTCTCTTGGACATTCCCTGAACTTCACAGGTAACGATACGATTACATGCAATGTCACTTCACTCGTCAGCGGTCTTACATTACCAATAACTCCCCAGCCAAGAGCCGTTTTCTTTGCATAGGGGTCATCTTCCTTTCCTGGGATTACTTCTAGCGGTTTAATTGCTCGAGGAATATTGAGACCGATAAGGAGGCCAACTTCTAAAGCTTCGTTCAAAGGCATGATCATTTCGGAGATTCTGTGAAGACATGGCCATTTAAGGGCAGATTCGGGTCTGGGTATTTGACTCTTCTTAGCCGGTATGGAAGACCTTGAATAGCTTTTGGGAAGAGATATCTCCAATTCCTCATTGTAACCCCGTACTACCAGGCCTTCAATTTTTTGGCTTGTAATCACTTTCTCTGCAAAAACTGTAGACAGTTTCAGTTCGACTTCAGGTCCACTAACTCTAATCTTCGAAGATCATCCCTAACAAAGCAGGCGTCAGATTGCTCGTCTAGAAGGGCGTATCTTAACAACTTGTTGCTGGCATTCTTTCTGTGGTGTATCCATACAGGCACTATCAAGGAATGCATAGAGGATGGATTCAAACTCTTCATATCAGAGAGATTAAGATGATGGGAGGTGGCCATCGGTGTATCTCTTGAACCACTGTTTTGTTGGTTTTCATTTGGAACAGGATCACTGTGAAGGGAGGTCAGGTGGAAGCCATTGCAGGTTTTGCACACCAGTCTTCGGCAATGTCGTTTCATGTGGCCCCACTTCAGACAGCCCAGACAAAGTGCCGTTGTTTTTATTATAGCTTTTCTCTCAGCCAGAGACTTGTCCAGGAACTGCTTACACACATCCAGATCTTGTGCCGCCTTACAGAGTGGAAAAGGGGTAGCTTCTGGCTTCCTTTCTTTTCTGTTCTGTGTGTTGTTGTTAGCCATTTCATGTGACTCAGTGGCAAAGGTGTTGACCTTATCCTTGTGAGTTCTTCTCCTAAAGCCATTAGTCTTTCTTCCTTTGTCTCGATCTTCTCTCCTGACTTCTTTCTGCTTTACAGTCGTTACGGGATTGCAGGCCATTCGTGACTCCTTCTGAAGGAAGTGGCAGAATACGGAAAATGGAGGATAACCTGATTTATCTTAAGTCACTTCAGGCTGAGAAACTTCACCATGGCATTGATCTTCATCCTTGTTGAGCTGACAATCTACTTCATGGCTCCAGCAGTCAATAAGGTACTGAGGAAGTTTGCGAACCATTCTTTGATTTTCATCTGGATCATCTAGGATGTTAAGGTATTTCACTGAATTCATCGCTGTATGGCAGTGAATGAGGAAATTGGAGAATTTGCAAAGGCTTATTCCATTGTTCAGAGGGATCTTGGGCCACTCATTAATTTTCTTTCGGTAAGCATCGGCGATAGGGAGAAGGTTTCCGAAACAATCGGATAAGATCTTCTTTGCCTGTTCATATGCTTCTGCTGTTTCCAGTAAAAGTAGGCCCCTTATCGCTTCCTTCGGCTCGCCAGCCGTATACTTCCCCAGGTAGTACAGTCATTGGGAGACCTGTTTGGCCTTCAATGATGGTTTTGAAAGACTTGAACCATACTGGGTAAAGAAGTAAGTCACCGCTAAATACTTCTGGCTCAGGAAGGGGAAGTGAGTCTTGTAGTCGCTGTTTTGATCAAATATCAGCTAGTCAGTGAATCTTCAACAGTGGACTTGTTGGGTGGATCACTCATCTGTGCAAGATAATACGGATCTTCAGATCTCGGGAAACCTCTTGCTTCAAACTCAGGTGCGAACGGGCTTAGTGACTCAGGAGTCGTTAACATCGGCTTCTGCTCAGGAGTACAAATCGTTTCTTTGTATCTCCTCAATGATAGGGGTATCCCATGCAAATCCTTGAAGTTAAGACCGAGTTTACCAGAGGACCAGGCAGGGGTGATACATGCCATCTCTCCTTTTTGGATGAAAC